GGGCATTAGGTCATTTTTCCCCTCCCTCCCTGCTCCCCCTTCCCTCATAAGCCCTTGAGTTTATAAATTGTTATTTTGTTGTATCTTGCCCTGTCCGACGTCTCCCTTCACCCACTTTTCTGTTATCCGTCCCCCTTGTCTGTCTTATATAAGTAGGCAAACCAGCAATGTCCTAGTCCAAACAATAAGAAAACAAAAGGTTGAAAAAAAGTAGAGGGGAAAAAAACCATCTAGTTCCAGGTCGGTCCGCTGGCCTTTATGGATCTCTCCCCCCTGGTCCTGCGGGTGTTCCGGGGCTGCCCCTCCTAGCCTGAAGTCTATTTGGGGGGCTCTTTAGGGGCTTTGTGGATTGGCTTTGCCCCAGTTGCTGATCTGTTATGCTCACTTCTTGGTTTGTCCCACTGTGGGGGATTCAGGCCACATTATCTCCCTGCCGTGTCTCCATTATTGTCCTCTGTTGCAGTACACTCCAGTTAAGGGACAGCATGTCTTGAGTTGTTGGCAGTCCTACAGTCATCTCTGTGCAGGGACATCATCTTCTAGCTTGGTGTGCCAATATGGAGTCTAGGCCGACTGTTCCTTCTTTTTCCTTCTTGGTTTGCTTCCGTGTGGGCGTGGTAAGTTGGCTCCTTTCCCCTACCTGAAGGTTTAGTGTTGTTCTTGGAGGGGGAGGTTTATATGATCTGATATAGGAGCAACAACCTCTACTTGCAAGAGAGCCTTTTACTTGGAAGGTAAAAGATCAAAGATAGTCTGTGCTTTACCCCTTTAAGAATTAGCTTCTTACCTGCAAAAAAGACTACAGAATCTGGCCCTAAGACACTGTTATGTAACATCTACTGTGAGTGCCATTCCCTCCCTCAGTCCTGTTTATAGTCAATTAATTATAAGTGCACACACTAGACTTCTGTAACATCTCATTGTTAAGTCTTTGAAACCAGATCACAAGGAAATGTTAACTGGCAAGCAACTGTGCTTCAGGTTTGGGGAGAGATTCATACACAAAGGTGGTTGGGCACCCACTTTTAGAACTGTGCAGAGTTCTGAAACCCAAACAAATTTGGCTCTTGAGGCTTAGTAATGAGTCATAGCTACCCACAATAACCTAATAAAAACTCAAGCTCAAACTAACATGTTCCACAGTGAATGAAAATGGGCTCTCACTGAGTTTTTTGTGGAAACTAGCAATGCCCACAAAATTGGAACTTAGCTGCTTTATACCGTAGGCTGAACGTTTGTGTGTCTTTTGCTTACCCTGATGATTAACACTGAAATTCTAATATCCTTAATAAAAGATAACGATGAGACAAAAACTTTCATACACAAAAATAACTGTATGGCTCTTTGCTTAAGTTTCTGGCTCCCATCAACAGGCGAAGAGTGAGGCCGTGCAAGCGTCATCATGAGCAGCCACCATGACACTGCACTGGTGTGAAAGACGCCATACGGTTAAAGTGCATTCAATTTGGATCAGAGTGCTAAACTCAAAAGACACCAGGCTTGTTCTGTGGCTCACTTCATACTACCTGGAAGGTGTTCTTCCTGCTGTTCCAATGAGTCCACATTAATGGATTTCTGCAGAAGCTAAGGTCAATGGTAAACCAGCTGGTCAAAAAGAGCTAAGGTAGATAACCCAGAAGACAGAGAATGCAATTACTAAGATGCTTGGAAATAAGCACCGGAAGTATCAAGGGATGAGGGTTTTGTTTGATAATATTCTATTAGCTACTATTCAAATTAAACAAACACACATTAGTATAAATACTATATTTATTAAATATTTTTACAGTTTATTTAAATGTATTTACAGAACTATTCCTGCATAAGTTATATTTCAGACATCCAATTCAGGTAATTGCCTCTTGGGTAAGACAAATAATGATAGTCTCAACAGAAAAAAGCAGCTCATTATACAGATTCAAATTTGCTTCATTATTTGGCCATCTTTGACACAAACTACCAATTAACAGTGAAATTTTGACATGGACACTTTAATTGAGAATTTTAATTCTGCAAAGGATTGAATTTGTGGTGTAGTCATTTATTTTTGTAAATAGAATTTAAGTGCTTTGTGTTCAGAGTTGTTGTTTTATAAATATACATTTTTAATATTGTAAAATTCATTAAATGAAAAATGTGATAGTTTCCAGGGAAATTGGATGCTGTAGCTTCTACCAAAGACACCCAGTATAAGGTAACAAAGAACCATGAACTCATGCCCAGAGTACAAACGTTGACAGTGCTAAGCAATCTTGTCTACAACCCTCAAAACATCAAAATGGACTTGGGAAACTCCCACAATCCCTGCCCTGTTACTTTTTGTGGTAGGCTGGTGGAACTGAAGGGGGTGTCCTTGTCTGGGCTACTATTCTACCCAGAGCAAAAGCAGCACATCAGAAACACTCTCCCAGCATGCAAAGCTTGATCTTTAGTTTCTAATCTCAATACAGCCCAGCACCCCCCAGACACACACACCTGGAATGGATCCTTTTTTATGATTTAGTACCCATCAATCATGCTGAGCCAAGAGAGTAATTCTGGACAAATCACCCCCCCCCTTTTCTTATTTCAGTTTTCAAGAGGCTATGGACTCTACTGCGTCTCCATTCAGTAAAAAAATTCTTTTTGTGCGCAGGCAGCTTAAGTTCATAGGAAGAAATAAGATTCTGATATGTTTAGAGTGCACATTTTAAAACAGAACAAAATAAAAATTTCAAGCATGTGATAAAAATATTGATTTTTATAATACAGTATTGCTTTATAAATATAGATGGAAAAGCTATAAACTTTACTGGTCTTTGGTGCATCCAGAGAGGGATAAATAATTTGCCATATGTAAATTAGAAATCCAAATTTTCTCATTTTGTTATAAAAGTTCATTACATGAGGCAAGTGTGTGTGTGTGTGTGTGTGTGTGTGTGTGTTTATAGTGCTTGATTTAAAACAGAATGCGCACACACAAACACACCCCCACCCACACACCAGGTGCAGAACCAGACCCATCAAGTGGTATAGCACAGCCACACTCCTCCGAGGCTGGGGTCCTGTGACTGGGAATCCTAGTCTGGCTCTAGTACAGCCTCTGACCACTGAGAGGGAAGGGAGACTCCAACAAAGCCCCAGCAGCCACAAAATGAAGTGCAGAACACAAAACAGACAAAGGGTGGAGAAGAAAAGAACAAGAATATTTTGTCACTAACCCACAGGCCAGGTCCAACCTCAATTCCACTATGCAACTCAATTCTTGTCCCGCTACTTTCCACATCGCACTGCAACACCTGTCCATTTCTATAACTCATCTCTCAAAAACAAAGTTAGTCAAAATGAGTTGTGGAAAATCACCAATCCAGCACTATGGAGACTGTATCTGATGGGCTAGACGAGAGCAGAAGAAACCCAACTTGACCAGCACCGATCTTTGCAGAAATTAAGTGTAGGCATTGGAAAGTTAATGCAAAATATATCCTGACAATAAGGCTGTACACCTCTGAGCAGATATAATGACAAATCCCAATGAAAAGAACCGAAGATGTCTGCCTAAGTATAAATGTATTCCTCCCAACTAAACCCTTCTGGATGCAACTTTCTTCATGGTTTAAACACACAACTGCAATCAGTTTGTGCAAAATAAATACCCCAAGTGCCATTCACGCTCCCTTGTTTTATCATTGCACTACAATTTCTCATTATTTCAACCGAGTCTCCCTCCATCCTCACCCCCCAACCCCTACCCCCATCTCCTTTAGTGAAGAATTCTTACTTTCTAAGTTAGGGTAGTTAAGGCATTCTGACATGTAATTCAAGGTGATTCAAAACAGATATCTAACATTATGCCAATTTAGGAATAGTAGATAAATTACTTAACGGCTTACAAATGAATAACTCATTCTTATTATAAATGAAATGCCTGTTACAAGCATGATGCATTGAAATATGTAATGACATGTACATGGTACATGTTAAATAATTTTAAATAAAACAAAAGCTTGACAGTTATGCAAATATACAGTACAAATTCACAAAACAAAATCTTTTAAAACAAGTGAGGTAACCTAAAACAGAAGTTTTAATGCAATAAACCAGGAAGTATCTCCTTTAGAGAAACAGACTTTCTATGTTCTTAAGTAGATTCTTACCAGGTTTCACTGCATTCTTATCTATACACCAATGTTACCTGACTCATATATAAAACATGGCTTTAATTTAAGGATTTCTAAGTATATATATTTCTCTACCACCAAGTTAATGAAGAAAAAAACTGACCCAAAAATATATATCTTTACAGCAGTCAACTTGTACACAAACCTTAAAAGTGAGTTTGAGCTTGCAGATAAATGGAAAACTGCACGCAGGTGGTTTCTGAGGAAACTACACGGCAAAAATGGCTATTTGGAAACTGTAAACATTAAGCTTGATTCAAAAACCCCTAAGTGTCTGTGTCGGCAACTGCAAATATGGGATCATCGCTAGAAGTTTTACTTGTGGACATTTGTGCTGCTGCCACCACACACAGCGCTCTTTCCACATGGTGTGGGGATTTGGCGCGTGCGCTAAAGAAAGCAAGGCTACTGATAAAAAGGCCCAAGGGTGAGTCTATGGGTGGCACGACCATCAAAAGCCAACAAAATTCAAAGTGATAGCTGCCCATTCAACCTATTAGGTCTGTGGGTTTGAGGCTCCCCTGGTGGTTGGTAGTGGGGCATCATACCAGACAGCTGGGAGGCATTTCAGCCATAACATTATATTGAATTTCCAGGCTTTGAGGAGTTTTATCACCTTGAGGAGTATTTCCACTAAAATATGTTGGTAAGGAGTCCCCTCCCCCTCCTGTGGAACAGGCTATCAGCCGGTGGTCTGGACTAATCAACGGTTAAAACTTGAATCACGGGAGCACAATGAGGCATGGCACAAATACATCCGTAGAACTAAATGAATCCCAGGCCACCCCCAATTTCTAACAAAAAGCTCCGGGGATCAAGATTTCATAGCCCAGATCAATGATTTAGAGCAGAATTATAAACCCCTGAAAAAAACAGGAGTTTATAACAAAAACATACAGCCACAGTCAATTGGTATAACAAAGACTATGCCTGTGTAGTACACAAGTAACTATTGGGGGATGATTTATGCACAGTTCTAGACGATTTATCACAACAGATGATTTGTTAAGATTTTTAAAAATCCCTTTTACATAATGTAATTTTGAAATCGTTGTACCAACATTACTCATTTTCAACTTGGATGACTTGTGAAAGGGAATTGCCATCTTGACTTTGAAAATCCCCATCCCATTGTAGAAGAGGCTGAGGAAACATGAAGGCCAACCTTCCACTCTTGATTCTCTGCAGTTGTTGCTGGCAATCGATACAAGCTAGTGAACAACAGTAGTGGTTCTTAACAAGAATCTCAGCTGGGTCTCAGCAAGACAGGCAAAAAGCTCACATCACTGGCCATTGAGATCAGTGGCAAAGAAACATGGTCCTGCCTGCAGGATCAGCACACGGCAGGGGAGAACTTGGGACAGCAAACAGGCAAGGCAGGAGCTGACGTCTAGACAAGCTAGTCCGTATACTCAGCCACGATCGAAAGAAGGACAGTGATGTCATCTGGCTTTCCCCCTACAATGAAAACGGAGTAGTTACATTACAAAGGAAAAGGCAGTCAAGAAGTACAACTAAGCACCACGTTTTTGCATATAACATGCATAGAACACAGGTGATTATAGTTTGAAAAACCTGCATTACAGCACATTATTTGCATGATCTGGTAAACATTGGGAAACAAATGCTTACATTTCAAGGCACACTTGGTTTTGTCCATATAACCTGGTTACAATAAAGAATAAAACATCCCCCGCCCACACACACACCCTCTCTTGAGACACAAAAAATATCAAATTTCATATAATGTAAGGGAAGTTTTAGAAATCTTTCCTGTTCTTTTTCAACCAGAGATTTGTTAAAATGGCCCTGACCAGTCTCTGTTTATATCAGTCATAGAAAAGACAACATCTAGTTAAGATAAATTCTGCCTGCTGAGAAAGTTACATGTCTCTGCCCACAATCTTAATTTGGACAAACATATCAATGTTTTGAAAGTAGGCTTAAGCTTGCATTCTAAGCTGTAAAACAGCCATAGTATGTGCTTCTTTCTATTTAGCAACAGGGCTAAGATGTTTTACACGTCATAATAGTCCAAAGCAAGAAACTGCCCAGTTTTAAGTCTGATACGCGACTAGCAACATGTTACTGTATTCCTGTTACACATCACCCAGAGGACTCTCTAGTCAAGGACAACTTAACTTTGCTTCCCTTTTCAAAATGTGCGGTAGCAATTTGGCCGGCAAATATTGTCAGAGTCTCACAAAACCAGAGGAAGGGAGAAGTAAAAAACGTGAAGGGCAGAATGCTAAACTGGGAGGAATGTGTAGGCCTTCCAGGCAGAGCTTGAAGGGAGGCCTTTTGGGCTTAAGTCCAAGCAGTGCATTGGTGACAATAAAGGGCTTCAGGTTCCGCCTGCCTGTGCAGCCAATTGCACCTCGTTCTGAAGGACACTCTCTGTGGGAAAGAGTGATGACACACATTTGCTCTTGGCCTCCAGGGTTAAGGCCCATTGACCTTGCTCCAAGCCACAAGCTACTTAGTGGGACAGGGCACCAACAGGGTCTCACCCCAACACTCGAGCTGACCTCATTCTCCAACCCCCACATGCTCCTATCCCACTAAGAACAGTTCCCTAATTAGTCCCTATGCCCTTCCCAAAGAATGCTTACCTCTCACATTCAATCCGTTGTCACATGCAAACTGTGCAAAAGGTGACATATAATTTGGGTCATAGGCCAGCTCATGAGCTTGCTCAGCAATGCTTCTCGCTGTCTGTTGTATGCTCTCATAATTAGAATTCTACAACAAATGGAGGAGGGAGTGTTATTTTTACCGTTAATACCTCATGATTTCTGCACACAAATATGCTTCTTATAAATATCACTTTTATGGCAGGAACCATGTCTTCCACCCTGTACATTTTATTCTAATTTTTAAAGAATGTAAACGATTAGATCATAACTTAAACAAAGAGAGACTATCAGTGCTGCCTGCACAAAATACCCACCAGAAAGCCCTTTGCCAGGATGGGTTTGGGCCCCTAGGTTTTCATTTTCCTTTGAAATGCTTAAGGAAGTCTTGCTAGGACAGAATGGGTTAAAAATATCGATCTGACAGCATTTCAAGGATGACCTTAATAACTCCCCTACTTGGGAATATATTCCTTTGTCAACCACCATTGGTTCTCCTCTAAAGAACTGACAGCTATCTTAGTGAAAAATATCTTCTGAATTTGCTATTGTGACAGAAAATTCCTGTCTGCAGTGTTTTCAGCTATTTATATCCTTCCTGACTTCCATTCCTTAGTTGTAAAAAGTGGGAAAATGAGGTCGATTTGGCTCTAACAGTCCGTGGTTCTAATCATTTCAATATAAATAAGATTGGTCTCTACTTCTATGCCAACTCCTGGAAGGTTTTTCCTGTCCAGCCACCTAAAACCTCAACCTTCCTCTTCTATTCCTTTACCCCCTTGACCTTTCTTCCTGTCACTGATCACTAACAGTGTATGAGCTATGTGTTTCTTTGGGCTGGAATTTCTCCCCCGAGGGCAGGGGCATTTTCTTTTCTGCTCACCATTGTCAGCACAAGTAGCATAGAACCTGCTACAGGAAAGCAGCAAGCACTTACTACTGAACCCCACACACCAGGCATGGTGCTGAGGATGTTGCCTGCAGAGGCTCAGATAGGCCTCACGGAGCCCTTTGAATGGGATCTGTATTACCTCCCATTTTATAGGCAAGAAACTTGTTCCAAATCATTCTGGTCAGTAAAGACACTTGTAAGAAAAGACTCCCCCGAAGACCCCCCCACCCTTTTTTAAAAAAAAACAAACTATTTTTACAAAGCAAGGGGCATAGAGACAGGCTGGTTTTCACTTCCTTCCCCTCTCTGTGTGGGACAGGGCTGGACAGTCTCATGACTGGTGACAGCTCAGATCGCCTGCTGCCCTTGGATGGCTCTGCCATCACTATTTCCTGTCTTTCTCAGCATCAACACCTGCTGGGTTTGTTATAGGAATTAAAGGCCAACAGGAAACCAGGAGCCCACACCAGTAAACTATAAGTTAAGAAACACACAAAAACGGTTCTCATCTGGACTTTCCTTACTTTTCCCACATGCTTTGTGGGACAGACCTCTTTTCCACCCCTAAATTATCTAATTGAGAACGTTTCCATTTACCAGTGCTTGAAAGATTAGCACTATTATTATTTTCCTAACATTCATAAAATAATTCTCTTGCAACTGAGTCAACAGACCTCAGCCACTTGGGGAAGGTCACTTTATTTTCAAGGGCCAATAAACCTTTGTATTAATTACCTTTAACTTTTTTAGCTCCTGAAGGATCATGTAATCAGGCATGTTGTCAAAGAGTCCATCTGTCGCTGTCAGGATGATATCTCCTAACTGGACATCAAAAGACGTGCTATCAGCAGCATCCGGGCTGTGGCAAGGACAGAGGAGAGTCAGGGACAGAGATACAGGTCAAAGTTCCTCAGGCACGTGCACACCGCAGTGTGACTTCCTCAGCAAGAAGCCATTCATATTATTGGAGTTGATGATAAAAAATGGGGTAGACAATAAATGCCAGTCACTTCCAGGGTTAACTTTTAGGTTAGGACTCCTATCCTTTAACAGTGTCATTGAAAATTCTGATATAAATACTTCAAAAGCCTGTCACCCTCCCAGGAAACCCTGCTGTCTGATGATTAGTCACATTCGGCTTAGAAAGGATGTTGGGTTCTGAGTCACATATTAACGTCCCTCCAAAATATAGGTGGAAATGAGTCTTTATTTCCTAATTCTTCTGAGCCAAATTCTGTCCCCTCTTACTCATGTTCCTGCACTCTGGCTCTCAGAAGGCTCTGCTGGAGTGGGATGGAGTGGGGTGGGGGCAAGTACAGATCCCGTAAAAGCCTCTTCAAATTAAGATCCTACAATGGTTTGGGCCTATCAAGGACCATGTGTTTCTTAGTGCTAACATAATGCATGCCATTCACAAGGCATTTACTTAGTGGTTTTTCAGCAATATCTGTTGAATGAAGAAATGAAGGAAAGAACAAAATATTTGTTTCTGCAACTGAGGGGAAAACCCTTCACATCAGTATGGGTGGGAGTGTGAATGCTTCTGTCCAGGGGAGGGAAGGCACACAGACGCAGGTGCTCCCATGTGCAGACACGACATCGGGAATGACCCAAAGGCACTGCTAACAGCGGCCACCCCTAGGAAAAGAATGGGCTGGCAGCTGGGGGAAGGGAGGTGGTGAATTTTCCTGTGTATCTTTTTGGGTAAAATTTTCATAGCTGGAAGATTATTTTATTATGATGATGCCTGATGGCATGGGCATAAGATCCCAAGTGGGGGAAAAAGAGCACACATTCCAAGAGCTGATGACGCCTCGGAGGCTGGCTTCTCCACCACGTCAGAAGCGCTGCTGCTGCTTGGCCTCCAACGTGATAGGAAAGGGAGATGTGTGAAAACAGGTCATCACCTGGAAAGCTCGCCCCTCACCCCAAATTAGGGAACGATAATCAGGAGGTGAGAGGGAGGCTGGCTTAAAGGGGCACAGAAGCAAGTTTTAAATAAATCCCCAAAATGTGTATAGGCGATGTGTAAAACAAACAAAGTAGAAAAAAAAGAAACTGCCTACACGTGCTGGGGACTTACATGAACTATGAAGAGAAAATGTCTGAGAGGAAAGAAATGGCATTTCTAGTCTGTGATGCAAGGAACAAACGGATTTTCAATCACACATTTACACAATAATTTGTTATAAACCAGGTACCTAAGGAAAACCGCTAAGTTAAAATGGCAATGGTACTTTACAGATAAGAGACCAATGAAACCCAGGGATATACATGTAGCAGAGGAAGTGGGGGTGGGGTGGGGGGAGATTCCTGCTAAACTGAGGGGAAACGGGTCGATTCCTTCTGAAGAAAACAAGAAGCCATTCCAGATGCTTCCCGTTTGCTCAGCCTTCAGAAACGAGGCAGGTCCTGAACATGTAGATTAACGAGCAGGTCGGCGCAGGGGCTCTACTTTATGCTGAGGTTTTCTTTTCCCTGCCAGTGTCCTTTGCCGGTCTGCCTTTGAGAGACTTGTTCCCATTGGACAGTCTGTCCTCTTCTCCCAACACTCCCACCCATGAGCTTGGTGTTCCGCCAGCTGCAGTTTTGCCCATTTTGATTGAACATACTGTGCTGCTGGAAACTGAAACACGAGCCGAAATCACATGCTAGTGAGCTGGCTCTGGACACCAGGGGAGGCATCTCCACCCCAGGGGCAAACCATGCAGAGTGCCTATGCAGGTCATCCCTAAAAGTAATGTGTGTAACACACAAGTACTATCCTGGTACTCAAGAAGCCCATGCAAGTGAATGGTGAGTAAAGTACTACTCCCTGCAAAACTGTTAGCTGAGTTTACCACCTACTGAGGCTTGGGGGCCCTGAGTTCTCCACACCCCAACACAGTAAAAACGAATATGTACTATAGTCAAACAAAGAACTATCTAAGTCAAATAATCTTCCAGACAGGTAATCTGTCTACATCTGAAAGTAAAAAGTACTTCCCTCTCTCCTCGAGACAGTGGCAGGCTTCATACGGGCAATACTGTTTTTTCCCCCTTTTTTTAAAACACTAAATTTCTACTGGTACAATCCGCTTATTCCAGTTTTAAAAAATGGAATTAACAATCACATCATTTTAACTTGGAACTTAAGATCTGGTTTAGTAAGCACCATAAGCAGACACATGAGGTATTTGCTAGAATACATCCATTTTTTGCAAAAAGGCTTGTGACTCATTGATCAAACCTTTCTGACTTGCAAACAACATGGGTGCCAGGCCCTGCGAGGTTATGAACAGCAGTGAAATCTGAGCTGTCACCTGCCTATGCACACTCAGGAAAGATAAAAGTGATGCTCTGTTGTGCAGCTCCTCAACAACGAATTACAGCAAACTCAAAATGAACTATACCCAGTACTGACTGTCTGGGAAGGGTCTCTTCTTGCCCACTAACAGTGAACTTTGAGAAGGCATTCAGGGCTTAACACCTGAGAGCATCATCAGAGAAGGCCAAATCTGAGGCCACTTTGTTTCCATTTCCTGCACATTAATTTCACTGACAGGTTTTGCATAAATGGCAAGGTCTGGCTGAAGCGTGACAGGGTGCCCTCAAAATCAGGAAGTGGTGGGACAAAGCAGGTGTCTGTGTGAATGCACCTCCCTGAGATTGTATGCAAAATCTTATACAGGAACTGGCATGCACGAACAACTCTTTTCTGCTGGCACAACTCAATCTGGCAACCTCGACTGTAAGTACTACCACACAGTACTGGTAGGAAAAACTACCTGGCCGGAGAGAAAATGTTTTGAGAAACGATGTACAAATGCGCTTTACACAATTGATGTGTGTATGGATTGGGGTAACAGTTGTATGAGCCCCTAATAAAATGTTAAAAAACAAACACATTAAGGAAGTAAGTAAGCAAGCAAATAAATAAATTAAAACAAACAAACAAACAAACAAACAAACAAAAAAAACTACCTGGCCAATCGCTAAGCTTTGAAATAGCATTTGCATGGTCTGAGCGCTTATCAGAATTGATTTGGTTCTAATACCAAGTTCAAGCAAAATTTGTTTCCTAAGTGTCAACCTGAGAGGTTTCTCCTGATGAGCACTTTCTCAAGGTCACCTTTCCTCGCATGGAAATGGACAATGTCGGCCCCCAGGCAACCTGTGGATGAGCCACCCACTGCTCACAATGTTGTTGCAGGGACAGGGAGATTACCTGTCACTCAAGACAACGCCCTCGGCCTCGGGTGGAGCAATCGAGAGCTGGAATGGAGTGTTGAAGTAATGCTGCTGCTCGTCTGACCGGTGCACAACTTCGCCACCTCGGACAACCAGGAAGCCCGAATCGCCAAGGTTTGCAGTGTGCAAGCGGTGGCTTGTTCTATCCAGCACCACGATGCAGGCAGTGCTGCTACCTGGAAACATAAACAACTCCTGTTGATTGGTGTCTCCCTCGGCTGCCTCCGCACAAACATTTTCCTCCTACAGCCCCAAAGAGTAATAGGCTATGATTTGAATCTCCTTTGCCTAAGTAAGACCTTCCCAAGTTCTTCCCCGTAACCCTGACGATGCCAACAGCCACCTGTTCAGGGTCACCATAGTGATTTATTCTATATGGTCTGGAGGCCACAGATGATCTAATTCTCCCATTCCCAAGGCAGAAAACAATAAAGGTGGCTGGTTTTCAGCCACCCTATTTCTTCCCAGCAGTGTAGTTATCTCTACCAAATGCTCACCAGCTCTGCATGTTGTTGAGCTTAGTGTTTTAATATTTAAATGTCAGCATGAGAACGTGACATGTTCCTGGCATTTCTCATTAGTCATTGGCAGGAGGCCTTCTCCATGAAATTCACTCACACTGAAGATAGGGCACATCATGAAAATCTGAAGCAGATTTCCATCTGTTGAGGTCAGGAAGCATTTTTGAGGCTAAAGAATGACTCACTGCAAAGTAACAAGACCAACTGTCCCAAGTAGTTTGGGAAATTAACCTGCTCACTTTACAGCGACTCCTGTGTAGAGCGGAGAGCCACACCCCCAGCATCAGTGCACCTTTCCTGCATATGGTCTTTCACAGACAGCAAGTCTGGCAGCACCAGTAGATTTATCACACTAAGTAATAAAACTTAGGCTTGCACTGACAAAAAGAAACACAAAAACTGGCAAAGAGGGAAAAAGGCAGTTCATTGAGAAATACATGACCACTTCACTAGTAACTAATTTTGCCCATTAGTTTAACAAGAGGCTGAAAGAACATAATGCAGGGCTGATCATTCCACAGAAGTGAGAGAACTATTAAATGACCTATCTGAAAAACAATGTAACCTTGAGAAACGTGCACAATCTTTGATGTAGCAACTCCACTTGTGAGCATTTAGAAAACTGGAGATGTAAACAAAACTGAAAATATTGTTTAAGATCAGGAAAAAGCTGAAAACAACCATCAAGTTGGTTCCAACTCACTGTGACCCTGTGTACAACAGAAGGAAACACAGTCCTGCCTGCAGCATCAGCACAGTCATTTCTATTTGAGCCATTGTTGCAACCCCTGTGTCAGTCCTTGTTGAGAGTCTTCTTTTGTTTGTTGACCCTTTACAGAGCATGATGTCCTTCTCCAGGCTCAGGTTCTTCTTCTAAGACAGATTTGTCTGTTCTTCTGGCAGTCCAAGTATATTCAACATTCCAACGCATCAATTCTTTGATCTTCCTATTCCCCATGCTTTCCCACGCATTTGAGATGATCAAAAATACAACTGTTTGGGTCAGGAGCACCTTCATGTTCAAAGTGACATCTTTGCTTTTTAACACATCAACCTAAACATCTACATACGTAAACAACCTAAACATCCGGTATGAGGGGATTGGCTAAATCACGGTGCATCCATACAACAGGAAGCTATATGCTCTCTCGAGAATCGGATGGTCTCTGTTTGAATTCTGGCTCTGCCACTTACCAGCAGTGTGACCTGGGCACATGACTTAAACTCTTGTTGTACAGTTTCTTTATCTATAAAAATAGTGGTTATAACAACTACTTCCTAGAATTAGTTGCAGGATTAAATGAGGTAAGTGATGGCAAACACTTCTAACACATACATGTTAACTACTTCATAACCATTAAAATTATATTAAATATATTTGAAAAAAAAAGAGAGAGACAAGTAGATTACAAACTAGTGCTAAAATTTCCTTAAATACAAAAAGATGACAAAAGTGTTATCAAAATTAAAAAACTGTACAACAAAAAGCAGGTAATAGTTGGTAAATTCTAAACTGTTAAATAGTAGCAAAACCAAATGAAAAACTAGACTGGGAACCAGCTGTGTTACCCTAGTGTGGCACCCCAGCCCCATCATTGTCTAGCTGTGTGACAACGGGCAGGTCCCTCATTCTCAGTTCCTTTACAACACAATCCAAACTCAAACCCCACTGCTACCAGGTTGATTCCAGCTCGTGGCAGCCCTGTCTACGGTTTCTGCAGCTGGACATCTTTACAGAAGCGGGCAGTTTCGTTGTTCTCCCTTGGAGCTGCTGTTGAGTTCGAGCTGCAGGCCAACACATAACCCAAAGGGTCACCAGGGGTCCTTTCTTAACAATACCCCAAACCAAATCCACTGTCATTGAGTTGATTCTGAGTCAGAGCAACTCTATATAGGCTTTCCAAGGCTGTAAATCTTTACAGAAGTGGATAGCTTCAACTTTCTCCCAAGGAGCAGCTAGTGGGATTGAACACCAACCTTACAGTAAGCAGTTCATCGCTTACCTGGCAGTGCCACCAGGGCTCCTTTACAACACATTTGGGGATATAAAAGTCCCTATACTCCATGGGGCTGTTGTAAGCACACAATAAAATTTGTGAAAGCCAAAACCTGTGTAAGGCAAAAACCTGTTAGAGGAGGAAAATGTCAATTATTTCCCACTAATCACGAAAAATGAAACAGTAGTAAGACCGCTCCCTGTCAAAAGCAGAAAACTGGGAGACCCTGCACATAGCACAGTTGTGGTGAGGCCCTGTTCTCATGGTTTCCACTGTACATTGTATCATTACTCTGTGTATCAGCATAGACAGAAAGGAATCAAGGAGCACAGCCACTAAAATATTCAAAGTTTTCTCAGGCAATTAATTTTTTCCTTAATAAAAAAGTGTGTTATTTAATGTGAAGCTATCTTCTATTAATGAATCTTATCTTCCTTAAATGTCAAATAAAAGAGCAAACCAGGCCGTGTAACTAACTGGCAGTGCCATCGCACAATCAGCTCCACCACTCCTTAGAGAGTTAAGAACACCAGTAACCTTGCTTTAGCCCAAGGTACCAAAGTTCAACTGTTTCTTATTAACAGAACTGCCACGCAAAAGATGTTCTCAATGCTGACACGATTAACTCTACTGAGAATGAAAAACGGCTGCACAGCCCTGAGAACTTTGCTGAAGGAGGACTTACAGTGACTCATAAGCCCTTGCTGGCAACCTAAGATAGCATTTTGCTCCTCCTGTGGGAGGAACCAGTTGAGGAGGGAGAATCAGAATGGCCCTCCTGGTGAAGCTTCATCATCCAGAACAGCACCGAACAAAGGCAAGGGCAGCTTGGCAGAATCACTGGCGTTTGAAGTGTAAGCTCCTCCGTCGCCTCCTCAAATTTATTAGCACTTACTATTTTATCTAGGTTCAGTAAAGCTCAGCAGCCTGTGTTTGCCAAAATATGTTTAATGTGAGTAATAAACAGCCTAAAGATGTGTATGGGGAAAAGGCAGACTTTCTATTCCAGTGGAGAGTTACAGCCTTGGAAACCCACAGGGGCATGATCTACCATGCCCTGGAGAAGTCAGAATGGTTATGAATCAGAATCAACTTGATGGCAGTGAGATAGATTGGGGAAAATGTAGATGTCAGTGTGAGAGGGGTGTATGTGTGTGTCAAAATGATAGTGATTATTTCAACTTGCCTTTTAAGGAGGAAAAAAGGAGCTCTGGTGGCACTGTCAGTAGCATTGTATGGCTAATTGCAAGGTTGGCAGTTCAAACTCACCAGCTGCTCCCTGGGAAAAAGACAAGGCTGTTTGCCCCCATAAAGATGTAAAGCCTTGGAAATCCTATGTTACTATGAATCAAAATCATCTGCTTGGTAAGGGGTGGTGTCTTGGACTGAGGGATGGAGGCCTCTGGCAAACAGGCAGGTATCAGCTCCTGGTGACCTGTTGCTCTGGTACTCTCTCCCTCTATTTTCTGATGAAGCAGGAGGTCAGAGTTTAAGTGATTTGCTGGAAGTCATATAGCCTGCTGACAGAGGTACAAGAAAGAGAGGTACAAGAAGTGGAAGTTTGTGTGTCTAACTGTGCCAGGTCAGCTCCAAACTACATTTTGAAAATAAGGAATTAAGACAAAGCAGCATACTGAAACCACAAGACAAGATTTCTCTTCAGTTAGAAGGAGAATCAGCTGGTTAATAACATGGAGAGACAGAAGATGGCAGTGTGAGGAAAAGAGCCCCTTCTTACAAAAGGATAGGAAATTGAAGGCAAAAAGATCTAGTGAGATCTTCACTAATGAAGAACCGAGGCTGATTTTTACTGTGGATGGGACCTAGATGGCAGCCTTCTAGTAACCAGAAAGATTTCAGCAATTAGTAGAAACTTAATAACACCTTTGCTGAAAAATTACTTAGAAGGCTGGGTAAGTTGCTGAGTCTGTTCTCAGAGCATCATTTAACAAACAAATATAGCAGCTTGGCCAAAGTATGCTCCTCCATTAGCACTCCAAATAAGAACTAGGTGTTTGGTTTTGTATGGTCTAATATAAGATTAAGAGGGATCTATATTATCTTGGCAGAGAAATCAGTGAGAAGTTGTTTTTTTAGAAGTGGGCAACTTTCCCACCTTGAATTCCTCATAGGTGACCAGATGAATTTTAAATACACAACTCCCAGCCTCTCAGAGATAGCCACTATCCTAAATTATATTTCCCTTGCTTTTTTTAATTCATATTTTAGAATCCTTAAACAAGGTATTTTTAATTTTTTAGGTTTGAGGGCTGGACATACATGGAACTATACTGTCAAGCAGTATTCTACAATTGCCTTATTTTCCCCCTCAGTAACATTTCTTGTGTACCGCAGGTACCTTTAAGTTGTCTGTCTTCATAATGTATTTTCCTACTGTGGGTGGTCATTCAAGTTTGTTTTTGGTTTTCTGGATCACAGACAATGCTGCTGTGGACGTCCCTGCCTCATCTGCTGGTCGCACCAAGGGGCAACTTTCTCCAGTCTAGCACAATACCTACAAGAAGAATTTCTGAGGCATGTCATTTGTCCTGCTCACTCAGTAATACCATCTTGTTTCCCAAAGTGGTGTACCTACTTGCATTCCCACCAAGCAGTATTTAGTATTCTGGTTAGTCTATGGATTCTTGGTCAAATTCTGTTTTGTAGGATGAGGCTCAGGAAAAAGCTAGGCTGGGGAATGATTTTTTTTTTTTTTTGAGTATTTACCATCTATCTGAAACTAAGCCAAATTCACTGTCATCAAGTTGATTCCAACTCCTAACAACCCTACAGGGCAGAGAACTACCCCTGTGTGCTTCTGCGACTACAAATCTTTAAGGAAGAGAAAGCCTCATCTTTCTCCAGTACAGCAGCTGGTAGTTTTAAACTATCAACCTTGCAGTTAGCACCAGGGCTCCTAAACATCGACAAGGCTTCTTTAAAGAGGAAAGCACATAGGCAAGCTACTTACCAAGCAAAGGTACTTTATTTTGCAGCAGCTCACAGTAGCTTGTGGTGAGAATTCCAATGGGATTACTTGGTACAAACCGTCCTTCTTTTACTAACCGTTCACACGTTCGCATTAAAGTCCCTGAGAACTGAGAAGGATCAACTCCATAGTCTCTCCATCCTCCGACACCATCTGCAACCCCTTTATAAAAAACAAAACAAAACAATTTAAAGAATATTCTTAACTTCTTAGGAATCTCACTCCTGCCTCTGCCTAACAATTTTATTACATACTACTTGCAGGACCAGGCAGTGCTTCGTTCTGTGTGTAGAGTTACTATGAGCCAGAACCACCCACTCAACAGCACCCAACGACATATTAGTCCCCGTGTCCCTGCAGGGTAATTGGCTGAGCACTGAGCTGCTAACTCCAGGTCAGTAGTTTGAGCCCACCAGCTGCTCCATAGGAAAATGAAGCTGTCTGCTCCTGTAAAGAGTCACAGTCTCACAAACCCTAGGACACAGTTTTTCTCTGCCCTATTGGGTTGCTATGAGATGGAATTAACCAGATGCCAGTGGGTTTTTTAGTTGTCATATCTGAATCAACTGGTTTTTTCCCCCATACATGTTTGCCCTGAAGAGTTGAAATAAAAGTTCTCAAGCTTAATATGTTATATACTAATTCCCTTGAGTTACAAGGGAATATTTATTTTTGTAAATCATTTTATTGGGGGCTCATACAACTCATCACAATCCATACATACATTAATCTTATCAAGCACATTTGTACATATGTTGCCATAATCATTTCCAAAACATTTTCTTTCTACTTGAGCCCGTGGTATCAGCTCCCCTTTCCCTCCCTGCCTCTTACATCTTCCCACCCTCATGAACCTACAAGGGAATATTTAGACAGTAAAGATATTAGAATTCGGTCTTCCATATACTGATAAGCATTTTAAGCTACCACAGGGGTGGCATTGCCTGTCAGCCAAGAGTTCAATTTCAGAAAGAATGTCATCTTGGGTAGGAGTATTTGTACTAATAATACTTTATTGTATTTTATAATGAAGAATGAAAATTGAATTTAAAAAAAGCACACTAACACTTGTGATAATGCAATGAGTCTGAGCTGTAAAGTTCTTAAAAGAACACCAACCCTTTCTTTGCAAAGCACCAGTAGTTATTTGTTCTTTCCAACATTCAAATCTGTTCTAGCTAATTAAATTCAAACAAAGTGAGAGAACTACAATGTCAGCCATTTACATTATCAAGGCTTTAAATAACCACACATTAACTTTTCTGAAAGAGGGGGCTTCAAAATTGGTGGAAAAATAAAATGAAAAGATAACAGTCTTATGAATTTTTTGAAGTTCCATCAAGGGAGAAGTATTAGTCATAGATGGCTTAGAAATAAGGACCTAGAAGCAATCGATGAACAAAGGGTTTTATTTTGCCACATTCTGTATTGTTTGAATTTTATTATTTTTAACATGAGCCCGCATGGAAGAAGCACACCAGCTTGGGCGATCACGAGGTGTTGAAGGGATCAGGTATAAGGCATCATCAGAACAAAAAATCTTACCATAGTGAATGATGGGGGGAGTGCGAAGTGGAGACCCAAAGCCCATTAGTAGGCCACTGGAGATCCCCTTGCAGAGGGGTTTCGGGGAGGAGACGAGCCAGTCAGGGTACGATGTAGCAATGATGAAAAATACAATGTTCCTCTAGTTTCTAAATGCTTCCTCCGCCCGCCACTATCATGATCGGAATTCTACCTTGCAAGTCTGGCTAGACCAGAGGATGTACACTGGTACAGATAGGAACTGGAAATACAGGGAATCCAGGGCGGATGAGCCCTACAGGACCAGTGGTGTGAGTGGTGATACTGGGAGTGTAGAGGGAGAGTGGGTTGGAAAGAGGGAACTGATTCTAAGGATCTCTATATGACCTCCTCCCTGGGGGAAGAACAACAGAAAAGTGGGTGAAGGGAGAAGTCAGACAGGGCAAGATATGACAAAATGATAATTTATAAATTATCAAGGACTCATGAGGGAGGGGGGAACGGGGAGGGAGGGGGAAAAATGAGGACCTGATGCCAGGGGCTTAAGTGGAGAGCAAATGTTTTGAGAATGATGAGGGCAATGAATGTACAAATGTGCTTTACACAATTGATGTATGTATGGATTGTGATGAGAGTTGTATGAGGCCCTAATAAAACAATTAAAAATATTTTATAATAAAAAACGTTCATTAGGGATTTTATAATTTTTAAGGCCTTCTGAGAATGACAAATTCTCTTCTCCATATAGTCACTTTTTTTGTACATTTACTTTCACACACATTTTAAGGAATATATTTGGTACAAAAGATCCATATATATGTTTCCCTGAAAAACTGGCTTAATGTAAAATGGACACCCAAATCCAATGTCACCAATTGTATTCCAACTCAGGGAGGCCCTATATGAGTTATTTGAGACTGTCAATCTTTACTGGAGTAGATAGCCTTGTCTCACCTTTCTCTCAAGGAGCACCTGGTGAGTTTGAACTGCTGACTTTTCAGTTAGCAATCCAACGCTTTACCTTACAGCACCATCACGGTTCCTAAAATGGACACAGCAAAACCTATATTCCTGACGATGCCAGTTATCAAACAGAAAGCCAACAACACATCCTGAGAAAGTAGGAAGAAAGAGAATGGGAAGATAGTAAAAAGGGGACAAACAGCAGCTTCTACAGTACAGGGGGTCTCTCCACCTTCTGTAGCCAACCAATCAGCACAATTTCACTTTGGGACAATTCCAAATTAGTTAATTAAATGATATGCTGTCTGGGATTCTTTTTTTTTTTTGCTGTCTGGGATTCTTGTCAAAATAATTCAGAGTGGGAGTGATGGGGGAGTTGATGAAAGAAGATTGGCCATGAATGGATAATTGTTGAAGTGTCTGATGAATACATTTGAGTATACATTTGAAATGTTTCATAACAGACAGTTTAAACAACAACAAAGAAGAGATAGTAAAGGAACAAGTATTATTTTTCAGTTCAGTTTTTTTTTCCAAGCAGTTCTGAAGTCTGGGAATTTGGGAAGGTTTCAGGATCTTCTTTTGAAGATTTTTTTTAACACCAAGTTTAAGATTTCACCATGAATTTAAATACAGTTTATGTTAAAACATGGAATGCAATTGTACAGTCTTCTGATGAATCATTCTTTTCAAATGACTGCCTGCTTGCTAGAGAAATAATTTCCTCTTAACCAGCCTTCATCTAACAGCCACAATTAACTTTAAATACAAATTAGTTTCACCTACAAATGCCCTTCCTTAGAAGTTCATTATAACTGGAGATAAGGTAGACAGTCAGTCCTGGCAGTCACTAAATCATCTGTCAGCATGTCAGCCCTGACCCAGCCCAGTGACATTCATCAGATTTCTCCCAGAATAGAGCAGAACCTTTCAGACACCTGCTTGCCTTTTTACATGGAAAAAAGTATCCCACTTGTTAAACCTCCTTAGGAGAAAAAAAGGTTAAAAAAGCAGGTTAATTTCTCAATTAAAAAAAAAAGGCTTAGTATACATTCGTTATGACAAAGAACAAGTTACATAACGCACAGAGTCAGGTTTGGGATTAGAATCAGCCTGAGGCCAGAATAATCCTACCTCTTGTACATTCGAAACCCAGTTGTCTTCCTATTAAGCAGTTATTCTAGAAGGAAATGAATATGTCCACTATTGCACAAACCAAAACTTCAATCCACACACCTCTTAAAAAGTGGAATTCATCCAGATATAAAAGGATCTTTCACTCAGAATAACATTTAAAGGTAAAGAAAACAATGCTAAGAGAGAGATTGCATAAGATCTCAGATCTCCCAGCACAGCAGCTAACAACAAGCAAAAGACTAGACTATGCCTAACCACCCTGTACACAGGGCCTGCCTACAAGAAGCTCCAGGTGACTGGGGAGCTCAACCCACACTAAGTAGACAAGGGGCTCCTGTAGATGCTGCTTAGAAGGGCGAGCAGGGATGAGGGTTTGATGCTTCCCAGCACTGGAAGAATGGGAAAAGAGGAAATGGCATTCAGGTTAGGCCCTGGAGGGAAAGTCAGAGTTCCTTGGCAGACAATTAGTGTGGTTGTGGCTAGGGCTAAGTAGGGACTCTGCTGGCTAAACACTGGGTTAAACATTGGTGTACTGCCCTCGATGTGAATGGTTCAAATCCACCAGCTACTTGATGGGAGAATGATTTACCATCTCAAAAACCTTACCTCCTATGAGGTCACTGAGTTTGAATCAACTCTCTAACAGTGGGTTTAGTTTGGGTTTGGGGCTTGGGTGAGTGAAGAGATGTTGAAAACTGAAGGATAGGAGTTAAATGTGTGGAGGGCCCAGAATGCCAGTCTAAAACCTAGCCAGTCTGCTAAGGGCCTGCACTGTCTAGTTGGAGAGCCACTAGCCAGCTACATGTAAGCTACTGGGCTTAAGATATGACCAATGCAAATTGAGAGTAGTTAAATGTGGAAGCTAATGTGTTTGGCTGCTAATAGACTGTAAGTTCAAGCCCTTGTAAGAAAGGTCTGGTGAACTGCTTATGGGACAATTCACCAGTTCTATTCTGACACACATGGGGGCACCAGGAGTTGGAAATCAACTTGCCATCAAGTAGCATTTTGTGGTTTTGTTGCTGGCCAGAATAAAATAACACACTGGGTTTCAAAAAGTGAGTGCCCCTTCTTCCCAAAAGAAAAACATCAGTAATATTTGATATTAAACATGTTGAAATGATAAAATTTTTGGTACATTGGGTTAAACAAAATATATTAATTAAAATCAATTTTAAGAGTTTCATTTTACCTTATAAGGCAACTAGAACATTTAAGGAGCCTTGCAGGGCTGGGTGGGGTGGGGGCAAGTGCAAACGGTTAAGCGTTCAACTACTAACCAGAAAGTTGGTGGTTCTAACCGCCTAAAGCAAAGAGGGGCAAAGAAGCTAGATTAATGGGAACAAAATCACCAGAGGGGAAATACAAAGGACTTTTAAAACTTCATGGAAACATGGAATTAAAAGATAATGGGATTCCCCTCCCCCAACTTTTTGAAGCCGTTATAAGAATGTTGACACACACACACACACACACACACACACGAATGTTGACACACTGAAAAATGTAACCGGTGTTAGTGACCATTAAATCCAACCCACTGTCATCAAGTCGATTCCAACTGAAAAGAGGCCCTACAAAACAGAGCAGAACAGCCCCTTTGAGTTTCTCGGAATGTAGTAAGTACAGAAGCAGACAGCGTCCGCTTTCTCTCAACACTCAGCAGTATAGGTACTGTTGAAAAGGAACCTAATTTTCTGGATAAACTTTCAAAAACAAAGTAAAAATTTTTGAAAAACGCCAAAACTCTTTAAGGCAGATGTTCTCTAAGTACACATGGGGTCAAGATGAGACACAGCTGACTTCACAACAAACTAGAACATTCAGTTATATATGTAGCTTGCATTATATTTCTAACTAAACAGCACTGCTGTGGACAAGGCAAAGTCACTACGGCTTTCAGATAAAAGCTGTTATTGTGTTAGATGCCATTGGGTTCGTTCTAACTCAAACCAACAGAACAACAGAACAAACCCCACCCAGCTCTGGACTGTCCTCCGATCACTGCTATATTGTAACTTACTGTTGTTGTAGCTACTGTGCCAATCCATTGTGTTGAAGGTTTTGCTCCTGTTCATTGACCTATTTTACCAAATATGTCATTATTGTCCAAATAACATACAAAGTTTCGCCATCTTCCTTTCTAAAGAGCCTTCGGGCTATGACAACACAAATCAAAGGCATGCATTTTTCTCCAGCCTTCGTTATTCATTGCCCAGCTTTTGCATTCATCTGAGGCCATTGAAAATACCATGGCTTGGGTCAGGTTCACCTTAGTTCTCAAGGTGACATTTTTGCTTTTAACAACTTAGAAATCTTTTACAGTAAATTTTTAAACACAATAGGTCATTGTTTGTTTGTTTTTTCTTCCTCTTCTTTTTTGGCAGGTGAGGCTCATTTGATTTCCTGACTACTGCTTCCTTGAGCACCAATTGTGGATCCATGTAAATGAAATTCTTGACCACATCAATATTTTCTCCATTTAGCATAATGTTGCTTATTGGTCCAGTTGTAAAGGTTGTAGTTTTTCATCTTGCAAGTCCTCTTTAATTCCAGCAAACACAATATGCAGCAAACAATCTGTATATCACAAGTTGTTAATAAACCTTCTTCAAATCCTGATGGATCTCATCTCTTCTGGTTGGCTGGCCAGTTAACTGTTGCCAAATTTCTTGGGATAGAAGAGTGACCACTTCCAGCATTGCATCCTTAGCACCTCAACGGTTATTCTTTCCAGTGCTGTAACCTTGGATTCTTCCTTCAGTACCATCAGTTCTTGATCATATTCTACCTCCTGAAACGGTTGAAGGGTAACCAATTCTTTTTGGTATTCTGACTCTATGTATTCCTTTCATATTTTAAATCTGCATCCTTACTGGGTTGTTCCATTTTTGCCCATAAAATTCTTCAATACTGCAACTCAAGGCTTGGATTTTTTCAATTCTTTCAGCTTGACAAATGCGGGCATGTTCTTCTTCAGCTTTCCAACTCCAGATCTTTGCATATTTCATTATAATACTTTGCCTTCTTGAGCTGCCCTCTGAAATCTTCTGCTCAGCTCTTTTCCTTAATCATTTCTTCTGACCACTTTAGCTATTTCAATATTTAAGTATATTACACTAAATATATTTATATTATATTAAATATAAAATATTTAGCTATTGTATTTTATTTATTTTTGTTGTTGATCAACATAACTTTTATTATTAAAAATCATTTTATTGGGGCTCTTACAGCTCTTATAACAATTCATACATCAACTGTATCAAGCACATTTGTATATATGTTGCTATCATCATTTTCTAAACATTTACTTCCTATTGAGCCCTTGGTATCAGTTTCCCCCCACCTCGTGACCCCTTGATAAATTATAAATTATTATTTTCTTTTTTTTAGTTAATTAATTATAAATCATTTTATTAGGGGCGCGTACAGCTCTTATCACAATTCATCCATCCATCCATTGTGTCAAGCACTTTTGTACATTTGTTTCCTTCATCATTCTTTTTTTTTAATTTGTGTACTATCTCTTCATAAATTACTATTTTCATATCTTACTCCGACTGCTCTCTCCCTTCCTCCATGGTTTCTATTGTTCGTACTGGGGAGTGGGAATGGTTTAAGTGTTGATCGTTGTGATCAGTTTCCCCTTCCTCCCCTCCTTCCTCCACCTTTTCCCCTACCCTCCTGGTATCGATACTCCCCTATTCCTCCCTCTTCCTGGATTCCGTGTGTCGTAATATTTAGCTATTTTAATAGCTAAAGTAATGAGAAAGAGGATTGATGAGATGTTTCCAGTTTGGAAGAGGGTAGAAACGACTGTTCACTTTAATTATTCTACATTCAAGAGCATGTTTCAGAGTTGTGGGTAGACATAATCGAATTTAATATAATTTACATTTTACAAAAATGAACCAGGGAGTAGTGAAGAGAATGTGTTGGGAGAAGTGAAAGGTCAGGTGTGAGATGCAATAATTGAAATTAGCACAATCAATAGAAACACAAAGTTAATGATGGGTACAAAAGACATCTAGGCATGTAATCAATAAGGGCTCTGAATGTTAGTAGTGAGAGGATTGATTAGATAATTCTGGTTTGGAAGAGGGTAGAAATTATTTTAGGAGCTAATGAACATTGTCTTGGGAATAATGAGCCCCGGACAGTACAGGTCAATGTCTTTCTGGAGTTGTTTTGTCTCAAGTCAGGAAAGCGGGCCTGCAGCTTGGTAAGACAAGCCAAGACCAGGACTTTGAGTAGATGAGATATTCAGGGAGGGTAAAGAGTCTTAAGTGTAAGGAATTATGAAGGGATCTTATTTTAGAAATGAGAATCACTGGCCAAATAGTTCATTTCTAAATTGTATCTTACTCCAGGCATCAAATTACAATCTTAGATATAATTAAGATTTAAAAACCGCTTAGGAATCCAGTTTATCAGAATGATATACTCTGTTCAGAGGTGAAGCTCAAAGTGTGTGCTGAGTAACTTCACCTGGAAAGGCCTTGAAAACTAAGGTAACGAATTTGCACTCAGTATAGAAGCTGTATCTTTTAATTCAGTAATCTTCTTATATTTCCATTAATAACATGTCAGCCACATCTAGCTTAAGTATTTCCTTCGACCCAAAAATCCAATTAGAACCATTATTAGGTTAAGGCAATGTCTATCTGAAACAGCTGAGCATAAAATGAAGCAGCGATCATACTGTGTTGTGTGCCATCATGTCAATTCCTATTTACAGCAGCCCTAGTGGGCAGAGCACAATGGCGCCACAGGGTTTCCAACGCTGTACATCTTTCCTGGAGTGATTACCAGGTCTTTTCCTCCATAGAGTTAGTGGTAGGTTCAAATCATCAAGCTTTTTTTGATTTCCAGCCAAATGTTTCATCACCACGTCACCATGGCACAGAAAATTCCTTTTTAGTTTTGATGTCATTTAAGTGGAAATAAACGTTTTCTAAAAATTGGACATGATTGACTAGAAAATGTTTAGGTTGCTCATGAGCTTTTTTAAGGTCGTGTTCTATAAATTTTCCATAGGCTTATTTCCTATGATTCTACAATGAACAGTGAAGAGATGAAAAATAAATGTTCTGGTTGATGTCCCATCACCTAAGAGTACTGCTTTCAAAAGGAAAATTCTTAAAATAATAGTCAAATTCCATTTTTCTAATAAACTTTTTTTTGGTCTTTGTCTTAGTTATAACCATATGAAAACAAAATTTTGATGTAATTCAAATTACTCATTTAGCTTCCTATTAACTTCACAATTGTACGTAACAACTTTGTTCTATGCAGAAGGTTTAATAAGTTCAAACTGGAGAAACTTGATCACCCTAGCTTCCCAGTTACACATGACCACCTAACTGTATTTGCAAAAGGTTTGCCTCTTGAGAAAGATTTCTGAATGATGCCAACATTAGCATGAGCTTCGCCACCCCTCAATCATGAGGATGCCCTTTTTCTTAAACTGCCCTCACCCAAGCAAGATTTCCCTCATTATACTGTAGACATGCAATTAGTTACAAAGAAACATGTTCTTGAAAAAAATGCCCAGAGAGTAAACACTCATTCCATTTCGATTGATGCATTAAATCAGAAAATCTAGGTAATTGTATTTAATCCAAAAATGTATTCAAAAAGACTGGGCAGAATTTCAAACACTTAGAGGAGTACCCAAAGCAAGTCGATGTATTCCTGGCATTTTACACTGAGTGTCTCGACTCTCTCACGAAGCCAGACCATTTTCCACGATTGTTTTTTCCATCAGTGAAACACAGCTCCTATCTAGTAGGATCGTCAATTGAAACTCCAGAGGAGAAACTGAGTAAGAATCTGGCTGGATCTCAGGCACTGAATAATCAAGTAGCAGGAGACCCTATGGATTACTACAAGGGATGAAGGAGTCCAGCTTTACAGAGACTGCAGCAAAAGCAAGATTCACTGCAGCAGGGCTGCAACCACTTCCTCTTTAGGTGCCTAGGTTTTTCTTCAAAGACAGTAATTGAGTGCTTAGAGAGCCAACCCAAAGGCATCAACCTCAAAAAGCATTGTAACTAGAGACAAAAAATGAGATCAGAGTATAAACTCCATTTTATATCAGAAGGATAAGATTTATATCAACATCTCTTAAATCCTCAAATATCTGGGCATTTAAGAACACTCCCCTGTGATTCAGGACTGTGAAATGTTGGATCTGCTAGTAATTATCCCAAAGGGAACAAAAAGCAGGATTACTGAGAAAAATGTATTTGGCAGTCAAGTTATTCAGAGAAGTACGGTTTGCTTTGACTAACAGTATTCTCAGGTCTCTAGAGGTGAAATTATAGCAATTATGATGCTCTTCCTGCTCTGACAAGCAAGCAATTGGCTATACGTATTCCCTTTGCAAGAAGATCCCCAGAGCAACCATGTTGCCTTCCTCGCAATGAAGCCTGCATCTTTTGATTCTCCAGAGACCTAGGCTACGTCAAAAACGCATGGAAAATCTCTAGGCACAACTGTGACTCCTGAAGCTGAGGCAACAAGCCTGAAAGGATTAAAAAGAAGGTCCATCCCTGTAATAAGATCTGTGATAATGCAACCTACAAGCGAAACGAAAATGCTGCTGAAGAAATTGAGTTAGCAAAGAACAAGTAAGATCAAAGCAGAAATAAAATGGGCCTCTTTCTATGTTTCAGAATTCTAAGCAATGTCTTGTTGCCCTAGTAAATATGAACTTACTTCATAATTACTCAAATTAAACTGCTGGCACTAGTGTACACCCACATACCTATTGTTCAGAACAATTCATTACTTAGAAAAGATTAATTTCCAGATTATTCTGGGCAGTTGATTTATTTCAAAAAGCAGTGAAACGTGGCGGTAATTTGCACTGGAAAACAAACTGTGGCTTGGGCCATTGTGTAACTTATAGGCTTGGGTATGACTCACAGGCCTACTACCCACAAAAATGTGCAGAGTTGAAGGTTAAGTCACTAGAAAGGCCACTTCACTCCTTCCTGACCTGTAACAGTTCAGAACAGCAGAAAACCACCTGAAATTACACGTA